TGTGTGCGCCTGGGGAGCAGTGTGAGGGGACAGTGCCATGCTCAGAGCACCTCAGTGGTCACTTGGCAGACAGTGGTTTTGAACCTGCAACCTTCTGGATTCAAGTCCGCTTCCTTAACCACTAAGCCACCACTGATGAAAGGAGGACAAAGAGACCTGGTGGTGGAAAGATATCTAGGAGAGTGTACAGAGAACGAGAGTAGTGAAGAAGAGATAGGACAGTAACAGAACAGAAGAGAACAGACAAAGAGAGGACAGCTTGTGTGACTCAGAATCCTACAGAATCCAACAGGCATTCATTTGCTTCCTTCCTGTCACCCATTCATCCATCTATCTGTCTGTATAAACAGCAGTTCAGCCTCTCCCAATCTGTCCATCACTGCTCATTACTTTCCCTGATTTCTATTGTTTTCTGTCATATTTGCGATCACCCATCCATCTTACAGGATAAACAACGAAGAAGATAGGCATATGAAGTGTCGCAAGAAACAAAATTAAAGAAAACGTTTTGACAAAAAGTAGGTTAGCCAATGTGAATTTAATGAGATGGGTTTGCCTTTTCCTACATAAACTGGGGTTACATTTTTAGAGCATTAGTTTTCACTACAGCATTATTTTCCACTACAAATGCAGTTTTTAGTTTGTTGCTTTGCAATTTTAAATAAAACAAAAATAGTAAGTGTCTACATGTTCTGCATCTTAATTGCATTTCCTCTCATGTTTGAACATAACATTTGTATCTAAATGAATTTATTCTCTGTTTATAATGTGTTCTTGTCTCAACAAATAAAAAAAGAATCTCACATCCTGCTACTGGTGTTGATATGGTTCAACTTGTCACCATGAAAACATCTTACCTTTATGCAAAATAATTTCATAAGCTCCAAATGTGAACAATGTAATGTTCCCTAAAACGAATTGCCCTGTGAAAATAGGATTTAAAGACATCTGAGGCCACCTTTTTTATATTTTTAATAAACTAATTCCAAGGCTTTGTTCAAATTTGTTTTACATTATGATTCTGGTGTGAGTGATGGTCTGAGGAGTTGGTAGCTGGTGGTTGGTTCTAAAGCATTCTGGAATCTTGTTTTCATGTTTGCTCTCTGAAAGTGATATTTACAAACTTTGTTCAGCTTATCCCTTTTCATCACTACTAGTATGTATCAACTGTACTGTAGAAAACACTGGCAGATGTGACTGGTGAGTCACCGGACAATTTAAAATAATAAATATATTTTTAAATTGAAAAAATATATGATTACAACAATATTCATATATCTATTGAGAATCCTGCTGTTTTTATGCAAGTATAACGATTTAGGGCACAATGTTTATAGAATAACATGTTTGTTGATAGAGCAGAAAGCAATGTCAACTCAAAATGAAATGTTACACATAACTGAAATCAAAATGTATTTATACATTCTCTTATAACCTTCTGAAATCCTTGTTTGGATATGTTTTAATAGGCAATCCTCTTGTTTGTTTGTTTTTTTGTTTTGTATGTTTTTTATATTTTATTTATAACTTTCCAATATATAGAAACAGGATAGGAAAAACACAGATAAAACGAAATCAAAATAAAGAATTACAATGAACAAGTGCATATGAGCAAAATTGCTCATTACAATTAATATACATTATAGGTATATAAAATAATAAAACAAAAAAAAGCGAGAAAAAGAAAGATCCTACTCAAAAATAATACGTAGTTTGTTATACAAACTGTACCAGTCAGCTATAAGTCAAGCATTTTAAAGTTACATTGGCAGAAAGCGAGAGATTACTTTTGTTATTTTTGATAGATATAGTAAGAGGTTGCCACATCTTATAGAAAGTTGCAGAGCTGAGAGAAACACTGTATCGAATCCTTTCTATATGTAGTAGACTGGTGACCTCAGAGAGCCAGGCCTTAAAAGAGGGCGTCACGTCACTTTTACACAGAGATAAGATCTTCCTTTTTGCAATGATCAGACCATATTGCATAGTTTTACGGTGCATGTTGGTGAGCATAGAGAAGTGATGGGAGCAACCCAGGATTGCAGTGCATGGGTCTGGAGGAATATTGCATTTATATACCTCAGAGAAGCATTGAAAATATCAGACCAAAACTGGTTTATCGTAGGACAATGCCAAAAGAGGCGACCCAGAGTTCCTTCAGCTGATTTGCATTTTGAGCAGATTGGGGATACAGATGGGAAGAAAAAATGAAGTTTAGTACACGAGTAGTGCAACCTATGGATAACTTTAAATTGAATGAGTTGATGTCTAGAATTTAATGAGCGTTTGTGAACATCAGCAAGGTAAGTTTTCCAGTCCTCATCAGATATTAGCAAGGCTAAATCTTTTTCCCAGGTTTCTCTAATATGTTAGGAAGAGGCCGGTTTAAGTGAGGTGAAGAGGTCAACAAAATGTGAGGCAAGTCTCTTGGAGTCAGGAGGTCGATTCAAAAGTCTGGTATTCATAGCTTTAGCTGTGGAGTTGAAGTTTCCGTGGGATTAGTAGCGGAGCCGGGGCCGCTAGTCATCCTTAGGTCGGTGCTAGAGTCACTGGTTATTTCCACCGTGGGAGCTGTTTTTCCGTTTTTCTTCGGGTTTTTCTTCGGGTTTTTCTTCGGGTTTGCGATCAAGTGCGTTGTGTTGTTTTTTGAGGGAATTTCACAAGTATGTGGAGGAGCCTCTAACAAGCACAACTACTCCATGCGGCTTACTCTGCAGTGTATTTGAGAACCTTAAAAGCCACTTAGGTTCCAACAGACAGACATGCGAGAAGACACACAAAAAGTCAGTTAAAGCAGCACTGAGGAAATTATTAAAAAATATTTAAATTATTTTAAAATTAATAACATTTCATAACTTCCCAAAATCAATATTGTTAAGATATTGTAAATACATTTATTCAATATTTACAATATATTCATTACATTAAGTTTCCATATCAATTTATACTTTTTTAAAATGCTGTATTAAAAGGAGAAGTACTGAAGAAAGGTGTGCATGCTGGTGGATTATATAGCAGGATGGTGTATGGTGGTTCAGGCTTGGAGATAGAGATAGGCCTGAACCAGTTTCTCTGCCCAAATAATGAAGAAAATAGAACATCAAAAAGGAAAAGAATCCAAAGTGCATGTCTAACCTGAGTTACTGAGCAGAATAGCTCAGCACATGTACTATTTTTTTCTATTGGTGGAGAATCTTTGTTTGGCGCAGCCTTTGCCAATCAGCGCTCAGAAGTGGCGTGAACACCATATGGCTGTAAAGGGTTAAGGTACTGACCATTGAAGTGTGTGTGTAAAAAAAACTGTATTTAAGCTTTGAGCACTGAGGAGTTCCTCAGTGCAGTTCTGAATGTAACCATTGTTCTGCACTCCTTGCTTGCAAGTAAAACTTTTAAAACTTGAGATCTCGTATTTGATTCTTTATTTGATCAGATCTTTATTTGATCTTTATTTGAATTCTTTGTGTGTTAGGAAACTGGGGTATGAAATAACAGCATGTTTTACAGTCCTATCGAACAGAGACAGTTTCCTGACAAATATCATCAGCACGAGTGATTGACAGGTCGTGTATTTGTCTGTACAGTCAGACAAACAGTGTTGGTTCAAGATGAGACTTTCGCTGCCAAAACTTTAGTTTTATGTCTCTAATGCAAAAACATCCATGATTGATTTCCAGCAGCATATTTTTTCCCAGACATTTTTCCCAGACAGATAAATAATTAAGGCACCTGGTAATATACAGTACTTTTAAGGTGGTAGGTGCTACAGAATGATTTTCTTCTGTTCCTTTCAGGGCTTGTCACAGCAGACCATTGGCCTCCATCTCACCCTTTCCCCTGCCTCCTCCCTCTTTTACTCCCACAATCTCTCAATCTTTTCTTTTACAACATTCACAAATCACTTTTGAGGTCTTCCTGTTCTCTCTTCTCTTTTCTGGCAACTCCATCTCCAACATCCTTTGTCTGATATATTCACCATCTACCCTCAACACATGTCCGAACCATCTCCACCTCACCTTCTCTGACTTTATCTCCAACCTGCTCCACCTTAACTATCCCCCTGATCTGCTCATTTCTAATCCTGGCCATTCTGGTCACTCCCAGTGAAGATCTCAGTATCTTCATCTCCTCCACCTCCAACTCCTTTTGTCTATTAGACAGAACCACCGTCTCTGAACCATTAATCATAGCAGGTCTCACTACTGCCCTGCCATTCTTCAGTCACAAATCACTCTTGACACTCGTCTCCATCCATTCCACTTTGCTGTAAGTACTACCACAGTCTCCCATAATTCCACTGCTTCCGGGAAACCCACATACGTAACGATCAGTGACCTCCGCAACCTTTAAAATGGGGGGTCAGCCCCAATTTCTTTCTCTCTGTTCAGGACTTTCTCTCTGCGTGGGATCCCTTATGAAAAGAGAAACCTCCTCGTCTCAGAAGAAGAAGATCGTATCAAATTTGATACGTCACTTTCAACACGGTTTTACCAAAACATAGATTATGAAATTTTAGGTATTTTCACATTGCATCAACCCAGTAACTATTCCTACTGATGTTTCAGTAAAAATGTAATGTTTTTCTAATCTTAACCTTTTCAAACTTGGCAAAGTTCTGTTTCAAAAACCACCTGTGTCCAAATTCTGAGTCATGGCAATCTTGTAGTTCCACTGGAAGACCTGTTAATAAGTGAATTACTATTCCCTGTTGAATTATCTGTGCACTGCATGTATCTGATTGTATACATCTGGTTTTTCAGGGAAAAAAATATCACACTGCTCATGTGGAGGGCTGTAAAACTCATGTATCAAATATGATATGTTTAGCGTTATAGGATTAACCCATCAACAAAGTGAACAGTGTGCAGCTTTAAGCTGCCAGAGGAGTACAGTGTGGGGACGGTGCCATACTCAGAGCACCTAACTTGGCAGCTGGTGGACTCGAACCTGAAACCTTCCAGACCCAAGTCCGCTTCCTTAAGCACCAAGCCACCACTGCCCCGTAAAATGAGGAACGCTTCAGGAATTTGTGTGTCATCCTTGTGCAGGGGCCAGGCTAATTTTCTTTGTATCGTTCCCATGTTAGCCAAAACAACACCACACACTGCTGACTTTTGCTTTTTTTGCAGATTCCTACCAATCCATATAGTTTATGCACAGTAATCAATGCATGGGACAAGTCGCCATGGAAATCATATACAACGGTTCAGAACATTAGAGCAAGGGCAGATAGGACTGGTTAGTACAACTGCCACCTCTTCACACCACCAACGCAAATGGTTGCCATGGCAGTCAGAAATAAATGTATTAAATCAGACAAAATCACTGGGCCGGCTGAAGAGGCAGGTGAACGAATGACAACAATGGAGCAGAACGATGAAATTCACTCACGCAGGCTGACAATCATTCTGCAGGGTTAAAAACAGGTGTTTTTCACACACATCAGGTGGGAGCAAATGACACCCACAGTCTCACTCCCACTCAACCCTCTATCAGACTCACAGCCATCTCTCCTTATCTCTCCAACTCCATTTACCACTTTTCTGTAATGGAAACTCTAAATGACAGATCAAATAAATATAAATGCCAGAAGAGGGAAGAACACTGCTCACCACTTTGCACTTTTAGATAAAACTGGAAGCCAGAGCCAGTCTCACAGCTCTCCTATCAGACAGTACCACAGTGCAGGTTTTTGTAATAAATTACAAGGGTTATAGTTTAACAAAGAACTCTGGAATGAGATCTAACAGCAACACATATAGGAAAGAGGGGGGTAAACTTTTCAGCAGTGTTTGAAATTACAGACCCTTAACCAGAATGTCTAAAATACATTTCATTATTTCTATAAGAAGTAGAATTGTGCAGAAAAGTGCAGGAGGAGCTACAATAAAATAAATCATTTGATTCAGTAGATGAATTAACTTCCGCCATGCATGTCTTAT